GTGCACGGCTAGGGGAGCCGGGTGCTGGGGTCTTCTGGGCACACTTGGAAGGCATGATTGACTTGTTAAATGGGGAGGCGGTGATGGTTGAACAAGTAGAGTTTTTACCAGGCAGACGGCGTGGTGGTCGTGGGGAAGGAGTGTGTGTCGGCCAGGGGTGGGATGCATGTAAATTCATACTTGGATGTACTTCCTGCATTTCCACCTCCCATCAGGATTTGTGTGGTCATAATAGAAACCAAGTTGAGCTGTTTTTAGCTTAAGCAAAAATTGGGAGTGTGTTGGGAGGGTACTGGAACGACTCATAGAAGCCGTTGGGCTACAGGGCACATGCTGAGAAGGGCAGGGACCGGGCTGCCCTGGGGACTTGACCGCAGGAGCTGTGGAGGCTCCTCACGCAGCCACGGAGGCCCCCTCGCTGAGTTTGCTGTGGGTCAGCAAGGTCACTCTGGGCGGCAGACAGACCGGCCTTCACTTTGCCTCTTGTCCGGAGGGACTGAGGGACAGGCTCGCAGCAGCGTAGTGGACGGTGCTGCTGGGGGCCTTGCATGGAGGACTGGGACCCGATGGATGGCGGCCCCTGGCTCCCCGCAGGCGGGAAGAGTGCCCTCCGTGGTGGTGGAGGGACACACAGACTCGTGTTGCCTCACAGCCGTGGCACGTGTATAAGGACTGGGGTGACCAGCTGGGGTGAGCGCCACCGCCCCTCGTCTGCCCGCCGAGCCAGAGCTAACCGCAGCCTCCTTCCTCTTCTCCCCAGAACCGGCCGTCGGTGATCACGTGCGCCTCGGCCAGCACCCGCAACTGCAACCTCTCCCACTGCCCCATTGCGCACAGCGGCTGCGCGGCGGCCGGGCCAGCCAGCTACCGGAGGGCCCCGAGCTGTAAGTCACCCAGTGTCCGTGCGCGCGCGGGGCGGGCGGCGGCCGTGACTCACGTGGGGTGTTTGCATTCCTTCTACATCATGCCGTGGACAGAACAGCTAGCCCCTGGAGTTTAGGTTTTATTGAGGCTGAAAGAGGTTTGTTTTGAGCACACATGCGGCCAGCATTGTGTCTGGCTTGAGTGGGACAGGGGGAAGAACCCTCCAGGGAAGAAACTGTGGTTGGGACAAGATCTACCAACCTGAAGGCCACGTTGTCTCTCTGAACTCACCCCTCGCCCAGGCAGGCACGCTGCCATGTTACAGGTTCAGAGAGGAGACCTGGCCAAGTGCCGAGCCAGGGCGGGTGGGGACGGGCCCTCTGTCCCCAGAGCCCTGACCGGCCGCTGTCCTGCTCCCCCACAGCCACTGCCACCTGCGACCCCGTGGTGGAGGAGCACTTCCGCAGGAGCCTGGGCAAGAACTACAAGGAGCCCGAGCCGGCGCCCAACTCGGTGTCCATCACGGGCTCCGTGGACGACCACTTTGCCAAAGCCCTGGGTGACACGTGGCTTCAGATCAAGGCGGCCAAGGACGGCGCATCCAGCAGCCCTGAGTCAGCCTCGCGCAGGGGCCAGCCCGCCAGCCCCTCTGCGCACATGGTCAGCCACAGTCACTCCCCCTCCGTGGTCTCGTGAAGGGAGCGCCACCCTTGAACAAGATGTCAATCTGCATGGTTTGCCTGAGCTTTGAACAGTCAGTGCTTAAAAAATGGAAAAACAAAAAAAAAAATTGTGGGGGTGGGGTAGGGGGAAAGGGGAGGGGAGGGGTGGTCTATTCGCAAAAACCATGTCGTTGGGATTTTTGTTCTGTTTTTGTACTTGCTTGGTATTCGTACCCGGGGGCCCTCAAACTCCATAGCAGGAGCTGCACGAGGAACAGCTGACGTAGCGTCCTGCCTTCCTGCTTCAGTTACCAAAGAAACCTCTGATGCAGGTCTGCTGCCCCGTCGGGGGCCAGAACTCCACGGCACACGCTTTCTCAGTCACAAGCCATGACGTTGGTGACCCAAATGCTTTGTGCTTTTTAATTTGCTTCTCGAGACCGGGGTGTGTGTGGCTTAGCTTCCATTGCGTGTTTGGTCCGGCCCGCGTGTGTGTGTCTGTGTGCGTGCGTGCGTCTACTTGAAGAGAACAGAGAACTGTCGCGTCTGATTTGCACTATTGGAGGAGGGCTAAAGTTGCCTGGCGGACAACTTTCTGTGAGATGCTAGTACTCTGAGGGCAAACTGCTGAAAAACAAAGGGTTTAAGGATGACATTTCTGACCATTTGTGTGTTTTTTGTTTGTTTGTTTTTTTAAATTTAGACAAAACAGCTTTGGAAGGGGAAGTCTCATACAGGTTATAGGTCTTTCTCTCTAGATTTCAGGTGCTTGCAACTGGACTGCAGACTACCAATCACGGGCATTCTCCCTTTCCTAAACACTGCAGTTTGTTAGACTAGAGCTGAGGTTGGAGGATTCTATAGTGCTTTCAACGTGATGCATGTTTTAATGGAGAAAAATAGCTGGTTTCTATTAATTGTATAGATCTAGTAAACAAGAACCTTAATACTTACTAGCTTCTTTTCAGAATTAGTTTATTTTTGTCAGTTACAGTCCTAGATATACTTACTGCTGGTACAGTTGTACTCTTGAGATTTGTGTTTGATATTCACATTACTCCTGAGTAGTGTGGGGCTGGCAGGCCCTGGAGACGGGCAGGCCAGTCGTGGGTCAGCCGCGGTGTAGGATGCTGGAGTTTTTTGCTGCCGGCTGACATTTAGTTTTTGCATCCCCTGTCTGCTTATTACTAGCTCCCAGGGGAGTTGGGGTTTGTGTCTTCCAACTTCCCTCCATGCAGAAACTGCTCCCTTTCCACCCTCTTGGCTGAACAGCAGATTACTGACAATCTGTGATATGGTATTTTCTGTGCTTCCTCATACGCTGGGGCCAAGGCAGTATACATTCCTCTGACTGACTTTATACAGTTATCACTGCGTTTATTATCGTTATTAGAGTAATAGCTACTAACTAGAAATTAGGCGAAGAAGAAAGCATGACGGACACAGCTGTGGATGTTCAACAGCTGCTCCTCTTTTTGGTAAACGTACATTTCTATCCTCCCCCCCCCCCCGCCCCCCCACCGCCTGCCACGTCCCAGCCACCAGAAGGCCACCAGAGGGCTTACAGAGTCGCCTGGCCAGGTGATACAGCGCACCCGCCTCCCCTGTGAGGCGCTGTGGATGCCCGGAAGCCCTCGAGGCTGGTTTTGAGTATAAGAAAAATACAGGTTAGCTGGTTAATTGTGAAAATCATCACTGGGCAGAAAGAAAGGTCAGCGGATCGGCTCTTGTGGTCCCAGGGTGGCTGCAGGTCTTTCCACAGGTGGAAGAAAAGCCCTTCTCCTCTTGCCCCTGCACACATTTCACCCCCACGTAACTGGGCTTCCAGGCTTTCGCATTCGGGCCCCTATATTTTCTGTAGGAAAAATCGGTGAAAACACTTTTTTTATATAGGTAACTTTAAGACCATCATTACGCTGTGCGTAAAGAATGTACAGAGAAATTTGTAGGTATTTTTTGAAGAACAATTAATTTGTTAATGATATGTAGCTATTTAATTTTCCCTTTCCCATTGTAATCATTCATATTTTTTTTGTTTGGAAAAAAAAGTTGATCTTTTTTTTTTTTTTTTTTTTGGTCGTAGATTTGTCTGTAAAAGTGCAGGAACACAGTTATTCTATGAGAACACTGCATCTGCCTTAATAGCCACTAGTTTGTTATTGCTCCAGGCTACTGAGCACGGTGGCGGGAAGCGGCCGGCGGCGGGCTCTGCGAAGGGCGGGCTCCTCGGCCCGGGCCCCGGCACTGGCCTATCTGGGATAGGCGGGCCCCTCGAGGGGCCCCGGGCGCGGGGAGGCAGAAAACCAAACATTTCACCGGGAAAGGACACACTCCCTGGCCTCAGGAGGAGCACAGTGAGCTCTTCACAGAGCCACGCCGTCACGGTGCGTCCTGCCCGTTCTCTCCTTGTTTGTAAATCTGTAATATATCATTCTCTGTGGCCTGTTTTTCCTGGAAGAAGAAGAAGAAGAAAAAAAAAGGTTTGGCAGGCCATCTTTTTTTTGTACTTAAAAGTAGCCTTAAGAACAATAATAAAGTGCTCTTAAACCACAGGCTGTGCGTGTGACCCACGGGCCCCGGGGGGGGGGGGTGCCCCCTCTGCCCCACGCAGGTGGGCGGACCGCGGCTGTAGCTCCGACTCCACGAGAAGCCCGCTGACAACCTGACCCGCAGAAACCCCACCCTTCTAAGAGTCCGCCTTCAGCCTCACTGTTGACTTGGGTCCCGGGCCTGAGGCAGAAGAGAACACCCCAAGAACACAAGTGTGGAGAGGGTGCGTCCCTCTCCTGAGTGCCCACGCCCAGCGCTGGGTGTCCCGGATGGTGTGCCACCACACGCTGCAGTCAGGGCCTCCCGGGTACCGCTTAGGCCCTCGGGAGGGAAGGCGCCTCCCTCACTTGGCTGCAGAGGAGTGGGCTCTGGGGGTGTGAGGCCTCCTCCGGGGCAGGAGGGGCTCCCACCCAGGCCGTGACCAGGATGTGGCCCTGAGACCTGTTCCTGGGCCCTTCCACCAGCTCAAGGCAGCAGCAGAAACTTCTTTCCGCCCCTGAGCAGGGAGGCACAGATGCTTTGCCCACAGCTGAGGACAGGCCAGGAGGTGGAGGAACTGTCTGGGTGGCAGACTCTGTCCGTAGTGGAGTTCTGGGTTCAGTAGGACGAGTGCGGGCCCTTCTGTCCTGCACGTCCCTCCATCTCCAGCAGGCCAGGCTGACAAGAGCTCACAAGGACGTCAGCCTGCATTGGTGCCCCCTCTCTGGGGTTTGCAGGGCAGCCCAGGGACTCTGGTGCTTGCCCCCCACAGTGGTTGCCGGAAGGAGCTGCTTTCTCATTTCCCCATTTGGTGTGTTGGGCTGACTGTTCCCTGTCCTCATTGCCGCCCCATGGGGGCCAAGGTGGGAAGGATCCCAGGAGTTTTGACTATCAAACACTTGACAACAAGAAAAAAAGAACTCGTGGAAGGAACCAACTCCCAGATCAATGGCAATGCCAAAGCCAAGGTTATTATTTAGCTCAGAACTGGTAAGATCATGAATCATGAGAAATGGAGAACCCCAGAAGCTCCTGGGCAGTGGAGAGGGGGCCCTGGTCCTCAAGGTACACAGAGGAGGAGACCACAAAGGTTGGAGGGGCGCAGGGCCCAGAATCACCGGTCTTGGGGGTGGCAGTCCGGCTCCGGTAACCGAGGGCTCCTCAGCAGGCGGCCAGGGAGAAGCCAGCCACGCAAGGGTGGGCCACGTCAGACGGTCTCATCGTCGCTCATGTCCCAGATCTGTGTGGAGAAGGGAGACATTCAGTGTCCAGCCGCCCGGTGGCACCCACTGATGTGGCCTCATCTGTGTGGTGTGATAGCAAACAAAAGAAATAACGGCTCCCACTGCGCACCTCACAACGCCCCGGTCACTAAGGACAGAGACAGACACCCTAGTTCTTGTATAATGAAAGCAAATCACAGAGAAGGGAAGTCTTTGCCCGGGCCTCACTGCTGAGTGGGCGAACAGCGGCCAGCCTGGGGGCGGGGGTGCTGGGATCTGAACGGGGAGTCTGAGCGCCCCTCACCTCCCAGCGCCCACCGCACAGCCGCCAGCCCTGTGCCCACCAGCCCCGCCCGCTCCTCTTTCTGCCGCCCCGCCCGCTGCCCCAGATCATCCTCTCTAATCGCCTCCTCCTCACGGCCTCCCAGGGCAGGGGCTCCGGCCTGTGCACACGCTTCCCACCCGCGGGGCGGCCCGTCAGCCGTGCTCCAGGTGCTGAACGGACTACAGATGGCACACATGGACAAGCACGGACGAGCTGGCTGTCCCTCGGGAAACCAGTCCCAGGGGAGACAGCCAGATCTTGCCTCTGTCCCTCTCTGCCTTCGGTGAGCCCAAGACTTCTGGGGCCAACCTTCATGGGGGCGGCGTAAGGGGACAGCGGGCTCTCACGGCGTCACCCGTCAAGAGGAGTGAGGGGGCCCCAGCTGCCGCCTCCGCTGCAGCCCTCCGCCTGAATCCCCGGGAGGGAGCCGGACGCCAGCACAGAGGCCCCCGGGGCTCCTCGCACCCTGGGCTCCCTGGGGGCTGGTCCCTGAACTTACGCCTTCAGACTTTCAAAATTCCTAGAACTGGTTGCAAAAGGCCACCTCAACCCTAGCAGAGCTGAGAGAAGGAACATCATGTTTACACCAGGCTGGCCCAGGGACATGGGGAGGCCTGGCCAAGGTAAATATCAACACTAGCTTGGCTTTCAAAGTCAAGGATGTGGAAAATAAATACAGAGAGAAGGAAATTTCCTTTATCCTGAGGTCCCAGCTGCCTGGGCCGGGGGCTTGTGGTGAGTGCGCCTCTCACACCCGCCCCCCTTTCTACATACACCCTACTGTCCCGAGATACCGGGGTGGGATGGCACCAGCAAAGATGCAGCTGCCTGCAGGAGCAGGGAAGGGGTGGGGAGGGGCCTGGGCTGGGGTCCGGCGGCCTGCGTGAGGCCAGGCAGGCCCTGCCTTTCTCGAGGCCCAGCTGCTCCAGAGCAGGGCTTGAAATAGATTCCAGGGCCTGGACCCTCAGATGGGGCTTGGTGGGGGGTAGGAGAGGGTGGCTGCATCCCACGCCGAGGCGGCACTTAGGAGCCCCTGGATGTGATAATCCTCCGGTTCAGACCACCCGAGTGCAAAATCAGCTACCGGAGGGTGGACTGGTGGGGCTCATCCATTCTCTCCCTCAGTCGTCCAACACCTGCGCCCTGGAGGGGCCCCTCCTTGCACTACGGCTGCGGCTGTGCAGAGCCGATGCGAATACCCCCTCCCCCACCCCACACAGCCCCGGGGTGCAGAGGGAGACAAATTCAGAGAGGGAAGATGGCTTGCCCGGGATCACACAGCCAGTCAGGTGCAGAGCTGGGAGCGCACGTGTGTGGGAAAAGGTTACATGAACAACAAGGGCTGCGTGGGGCAGGCTGCATGGAGGCGGCGCCAGGGCTGGGGGTGGGCTATAACCTGCTGGGGGTGGGAGACATGCCAGCCAGGGCCTGGGCAGTCTGTGTCAACAAGCAGTGCCTTCTGTGAATGGATAGGGTTTTTCAAAGGACACTGGGGGGGCCAGGCCCAGAGCAGGGCCTTAGGGAAAAGCAGGAGCTCCAGAGGCTCTGTCCATTTTATTGCATCTCAGTGATGAGGTAGGGTCTTCAGCACCCAGCTCTGCCTTTGCACACAGTGGGGGGAGAGGGGGGCGGGAGGGGTGCTGGCTCTGCCTCATGCTCCTGGCACCGCCCAGGTTGTGCAGGGGATCAAGCAAGGCACCCGAAAGGCTTACTATGACAGGACTCTACAGAAGGGGGTGGGGGTGGATAATGGATTTTATATAAGTGCTCAGGGATTTTCCAGAAAGAGTTCTTCTCTGGGCCTGAGATGGGTTTCTCCACTAGGGCAGTCAGTCCTTTTCCCATAGGCTGGGCCCAGGAAGGCAGCAGTCTTATTTGTAAAGCTTCCAGAAGCTTGAGCCTCCACAACTCCCACATGATCTCACTTATAGGTGGAATCTAAAAATGCTGAACTCAGAGAACCATAGAGCAGATGGGTGGTTGCCAGGAACTGGGGGGAAACGAGGAGATGCTGGCCAAAGGGTACAAACCTGCTGCTGTAAGAGGAGTATGTTCTGGAGATCCAATGTACACCATGGTGTTATAGTTAAAAATACTATATACTTGAAATTTGCCCAGAGAATAGATCTTAAGTGTTCTCATCACACACACACACACACACACACACACACACACACACACAATAACCATGTGAGGGGATGGATATGGTAATTAATTTCACGGTGGCCATCATTTCATAATATATATTAAAACACTACTTTGTAAAACCTAAATTTATACACTTTTTGTCAGTAAAGCTGGAGGAGAAAAAAACAAACTTTTGTCTCCTCTCACCCTAGAATAAGGCCCAGGGGGTGTGGAGGGGCCTTCTGTCCTCAGCCTCCCTCACAGCGCCTGGCAGACAAGAGGCCTCATGAATGTCCTCTTCATAATGAATGAAGGTTGTACTAAACTGGCAAAGATTTAAAAAATGTTGATACTCAGTGCTGGCAAGGGAGTGGCAAAACACTTCCAGCAGGAACATAAATTGGTACCGTATTTTTCAAAAAAAGAGATTTGGCAACATATAACACAAAGCTTTAAAAATATTCATACCCTAAGGAAGAGAGAAATGGTCTCTTTTTGCGCACCTAGAAAACCCAAGAAAATAAATGTTGAGACGAATAAAGACAATATTCAATAAGGCAGCAAGGTATAAAATGACCAACAACCAAATTCCACCTTCGTATCTGCAAACAGCAGCTAGTTGGAAAACAGAAGAACCCATCGTAAGAGCGATGAAAAAGAGAAATTCCTAGGGAATAAACCTACATGAAATGGATAACATCCAAGTGAGAAAAACCCGTCAGCTCAGGCCCGCACGGTCCTTGCCAGGGCCTTGTGAAAAGTATGCTGGAACAGAGGGAAAGCGCACAGGGCGACAGGTCCGCCCAAGTTCATATGAAATTTACCACAATTTCCATTTGAAAAAAATTAACAAGTATCTTTTCTGGAGCTAGACCAGCTGGTTCTAAGGTTTATGGGGAAAAAATAAATAAGCAAGAATATCTAGGAAAACCTTGGTGAAGAATAATAATGAGGAGGTTCCCTTGCTCTATGTTCAAGCAGGTCATAAAGCTGACAACTTAGAAGAGGGTTGCGTCACCATGGGAACAGACAGATGGGCCCTGGGCACGAAATGAGTCCAGAAACAACAGAAGAGTTCTGTCCAAGTACATATGGAGATTTAGTATCTTAATGATAAAGGTCTGGGGAAGGTGATCTCAAATCATTAGAAAAAGATGGACTTTTTAATAGATATGGGGACAGCTGGACGGTCACTTGCAAAATGATAAAATTGATTCCATGCTTCACCGTACATCGGAATCTACTCCAAATGGAACTGATCTAAACATATGACAGTGAAACCATACAAAACAAACATCAGTGAATTTCTTTATAACCTGGGAGTGAGGAGCCTGTAGCCTTAAATCTATAAGCAGTAAAACAGATACAGTGGATTATGTGAAAACACATGTGTGCAATTTTGCACAGAAAAAACTACATGCAAAGTTGGAAAGACAACAAAGTGGGAGAAAATACCACTTCAGCCCATAAAGGGCTAATCGCCCTAATGTACAAATAGCTTTTACAAATCAAGAAGAGAAAGACCAATAAAAGGATTCACAGACCAAAGACATGGACGGTGAGTTCACAGAAAAAGGCAAACAGCCTTTAAACATAAGAAAAGGGGCTCAGCTGCTCAGAATAAGAGAAATGCTAAAATTTCTTAGGACACAAATACTCAGCAGAAAAAATACTCACTCTTCACAAAAATCAAAACTCACTCCTGGTCTCTAAAAGATACCATTTTCTATGAAAATGAAAAGGCAGACCAGAGACTAGAAGAAAATATTCACAGTGTATATAAAAAGGACTTGTAGCCAGAATATACAAAGAATTCCTACAGTTCAATAATAGAGAGACAGGTAACCTTTTTTTTTTTTTTTAAATGGGCAAAAGATGTGAATAGACACTTGACAAAAAAGGAAATAAAATGGTCAGTAAGAACCTGAAAAGGTGCTCAGCATCCTTAGTCCTCAGGGAAATGCAAACCACAAAGAGACACCACGCTGTACCTTCTAGAACTGCCAAAATAAAAAAGGCTAGTAGCACCAAAGGTCTTGTGAGAGTGTGGAGCAACAGGAACTCACGTAGTGCTGTGAGCAGGGACAGAAACTGGCATCGCCACTTGGGAGTAAGGTCTGGTGACGTCTAAAGTTATACAATAGGAAGCAGCCATTCTACTCCTCTTTACCAAAGGCATGAAAACACGTGTCCACAAAGACTTGTGCAAGTATATTCATAGCAGCTCTATTCATAATAGGCACAAACTGGAATCAATCCCAATGGCCACTGGCAGGCAAAGCGAAACAAAGAATGGTATCGCCACATAATGGGGACTACTCACCATCAGAGGGACGGAACACACACGCCGCAACGTGTATGCGTCTCAGAGTCATTGTGCTGAGTCAAACCAGCCCGACACAAAACACTATGTACCCTATGGATCCATTTATGTAAAATGTAGACATGGCAAACTAACCTATGGTGACAGAAAGTAGATTGTCAGAACTCACCAGCCTATGCACTTTAAATAGGTGCATTGTACTGTATACAAATTATACCTTAATAAAGTTGATTTTTTTAAAG